CTATGGAAGTCATTCTCTCAAAGCTCTAGAGAATTTAATTGATGGTAAAAGCAGAAGTTATCCCTCCCGCCCCCACCCAGGGTGATGTTATGTTTATGAAAATGGATAATCAAAGCCATTTTGAAGTGTCATTCATTCTGTTCCTTTCATGTGTGGGAAGTTTCTTCTTTGAAATAAAATAACATGTTTGTGTTGATAGAAATTAATTTGGCAGTTGTAAATGTTGCTTCAAGGACAGTACTGTTGGTTGTTTTTAAGCTTATTCTCTTGGACCACTCATATTGTCATGAGCACCATGAAGGGAAATCGCCCTGGTATTTGTTTTGCTCTACACCTTACAGAGCTGTCTTTGAGATCAAAGAGATTCCTGTGTGAGAAGGAGGTCCACGGAGTACAGGCGAACAGGCAACTGATGCCAAACAGGCAGGGGGCGTCTGATTATGGAGACCAATTTCCAAGACACCAAAAATACCATCAGCTGACTTACAGAAACAAGAATCACAGGATGATAGCATTTTAAAGCCCAGTGGTACATTAGAGGAAACCTAGCCTGACATTTTTATTCCACAACTAGTTCTACTGAGGGAGAGAGAGAGCATATCAAGGCCACAAAGCCAATTGCCAAAAAAAAAAAAAGCTTTATTAAAATAATCATAAATAGTGTACCAGAAACCCCGAGAGTTCTGGTCCAAGCCAGAGTTTTCTAGATTGAGAATCAAGTGACACATTCACCTTTAAGCAGCCAAATACAGGTGGGGAAGCTTTGAGATGCTATGTGAAGGAAGAAAACCGAGAGCCATGAGTCCTTTGCAAAAAAATGGGAATGAAATTTATCACCATACTGCTTTTACTTATGTCTACACGTATGTTAAGAAGGAATTGGAGAAACAGTCACTGAAAAAGTGAAAAAGTCCTTTCTACTGGGATATCTTTCGTTCTCTTTAGGAACAACTTTGACCAAAGTGTGTCTTCTTTTCCGTGGTGACTTCCAGGTAGTTAGATTCAACAAAGGACCTAGGAATAGGTGATTCTGATCACCAGGAGGGGAAAAAAAAAAAACCACGTTAAGATAATTCTTTATAAAAAGACTGGGATAACACAAAGGAGAAATTTTCCCAGCTTTATACTCTGGTCCATGGTGTGGTATTCAGCACTAACCCATACCTGGCTTAACCACAAGACTTAGGAAGTTGAGACTATGATTCTAAAATAGACCTTATGCAAGCAAATCTGCTATAGAATGTGGGCTACAAATTAGGATAAACATAGGAAAACCATGTAAAGCTACAAGTTAACACATAACACAAACAAATAATGCCCCCAGAATTAACTCAAAGCTCTACAACAGGAAACTTAAAGTGTTATGTTTTTCCAGTATGCTGAGTAAATATTTGCCTTCTTTGCCAGTTGGTGATGTTGGTCCTTGAACTGTGCAGGTACCTGTTTACTTATAAGGCTGGCATTGATTCCCTGGTTGCTATGAGAGATGGTTAAAGTTGATTTCTAACCAAAAGGCTCATATTTCTACTCTGGGAGGAGTGGATGGCTTGTA